AGGGCACCAGACTTGGTTTTAAGGGAAAGGATTATCTCATTGACGTCAGTGGAATTAATAGGCTTTAGGTACAGAGACTGTGGATAGTTACCTGAAAGATAGTCATTAATGTCTGTACTGGAAGATGGAATATCATTTGCAAGGGATGAACCAATGGAAGAGAAGAACCTATTGAACTCAGTAGCAGAATCAGAGGCTGAAAGCTGACCATCGTTATTAGACAGGAGAGTCGGTTTGTTATTTAAAGACTTCTTTGATCCCAATATTTGAGAAATTGTTCTCCAAGTTTGTTTAATGTTGCTCTTTATTTGGGTAAATTTATCTTGGTAGTATTTTGTTTTGGCTCGTCTAATTATCTTAGACAGCAATAATGAGTAATTCTTTGAGAATTCTTTGGAGACAATTCCTAACCTATACTTCTTCTCAAGGTCATGTTTTTTATTAATAGATTTAAGTATTCCCTTTGTAAGCTAGGGATTGTTACACTGAAATTGTAAGAAATACAAAACAAAAATATAAACAAGACTAAGCAATACAAAAACAAATTGAGCAAAAATGAAAAATGAGGTAGATTGCTTACAAGTACTCTCAGGTACACTGTAAGTAACAATTTGCAATTTGAGATACAGGCAATTCTGTACTACAGCTAAGCCTTGTAGCTGTTTAGGAGAAAAATTAAGAAGATGCAAGGAATAATAATCAACAACAGATCGTATAAAGGCAATATAAAAACTACGAGAATATTTTATGTTAATGCCAAATCCTTTTTGATATAGCAAACAAAGCCAAGACCGAACCATAGCTATTCCATAGTCACACCAGGAGGCAAACAACAGTGAAAGAACAGGTGATGAAACTTAAAACGGGTGAGGACAGGTATACAGAGAATGACAAAGAGGTGTGTGAAGAACTCAATAATAGGTTTCAGGAGGTCTTCACGACAGAACGAGGTGAGGTCACTGCGCTAGGAGAGGGGGCAGTAAACCAGACGGCCTTGGAAGGGTTCGAAATTACAAGAGATGATGTCAGGAGACGCCTGTTGGATGTGTGAGAAAGGCTGTTTTTTCAGACGGAATCTCACCATGAGTATTGAAAGAGTGTGCAGGAGCACTTTACTTGCCACTCTCCATAGTGTATAGTAGGTCACTGGAGATGGGAGACCTACCAGAAATATGGAAGATGGCTAATGTAATCTGAATATACAAAAAGGACGGCTAATGTAATCCCAATATTCAGTGCCTCTGATAGTGAAATCCTAAAAAAGCAGTATGAAGACATGTTTAGCACTCCGATACTCAGCATAAAAGTGGAAGATTCGGACAATTTCTTTATGAATGATACTCAAACAACTGTAAATATAACTGATATCAACATGAGCGTGGCAGATTTTGAAAGAGAAATTGACAATATGCCCATGCACTCAGCCCTGGGTCCAGACTCATGGAATTCAATATTTATAGAGAAATGCAAAGTGCCAGTAGCACTGGCACTCAGTATAGTGTGGAGGAAGAGCTTGGACACAGGGGAGATACCAGATGCGCTTAAAGCAGCAGACATTGCCCCTCTACACAAGGGTGGTACCAAAGCATTGGCAAAGAATTATAGACCAGTTGCACTAACGTCCCACATAATAAAAGTATTTGAAAGAGTGATCAGGAGTCAGGTCACTAGATTCTTGGAAACCAATGACCTCCACAATCCAGGCCAACATGAATTTAGAGCAGGAAGATCATGCCTCTCACAGCTACTTGACCACTATGACAAAATCACTGAGGCATTAGAGGAAAAACATAACGCGGATGTTGTATACACAGATTTTGCAAAGGCATTCGACAAATGTGACCATGGAGTAATTGCACACAAAATGAGGTCAATGGGTATAACTGGTAAACTGGGACGCTGGATACTCAACTTCCTGTCGAACAGAACACAAAGAGTAACAGTCAATCAAGTAAAATCGAGTCTGAGCGCAGTTAAAAGCTCGGTACCTCAAGGTACAATCCTTGCACCACTGCTGTTCCTTATTCTCATATCAGATATAGACAAAAACACAAGTCACAGCTTCGTGCCATCCTTTGCAGATGATACAAAAATCAGAATGAAAATTACCTCTGCTGAAGACATTGATAAACTACAAACAAATTTTAACAAAGTTTTCGATTGGGCAGCAGAAAATAACATGATGTTTAACGGTGATAAATTCCAGGTACTCAGATACGGCAAAAATGAGGATCTTAAACATAATACAGGGTACAAAACACAATCGAATCTGCCCATAGTAGAAAAACAGCATGTCAAGGATTTGGGAATAATGATGTCCGACGACCTAACGTTTAGGGAGCATAACCAAGCAAGTATTGCGTCAGCCAGAAAAATGATAGGATGGATTACGAGAACCTTCAAGTCCAGAGATCCCATCACAATGTTTGTATTCTTCAAATCACTTGTGTTGTCCCGTCATGAGTACTGCTCAGTACTCACTTACCCCTTCAGAGCAGGAGAGATTGCTGAACTTGAGGAAATACAGAGAACATATACAGCACGCTTAGACGAGATTAAGCACCTAAATTATTGGGATCGCCTCAAAGCTCTCCAAATGTACTTACTAGAAAGGAGACGAGAGAGATACCAAATAATATACACATGGAAAATACTGGATGGACAGGTCCCAAATCTGTACAGTAAAATAAAAACGTACTGGAGTGAACGACATGGAAGAAAATGTAGAAGAGAACCAGTGAAGAGCAGAGGTGCCATGGGCACAATCAGAGAACACTGTATGAACATCAGAGGTCCACGGTTGTTCAACGTCCTACCAGCGAGCATCAGAAATATTACAGGAACAACCGTGGACATCTTCAAGAGAAAACTAGATTGTTTCCTTCAAGGAGTGCCGGACCAACCGGGCTGTGGTGGGTATGTGGGTCTGTGGGCCGCTCCAAGCAACAGCCTGGTGGACCAAACTCTCACAAGTCAAGTCTGGCCCCGGGCCGGGCTTGGGGTTCTTCTCTGGGGAAGAACTCCCAGAACCCCATCAACCAGGTATCAACCAGGCACTGAATTACAGGCCAATGTCCTTAACTTGTATACCATGCAAGGTGAAGGAGAAGATCTTGAGAAAAAACCTAGTAACACATCTGGAGAGAAGGAACATCGTGACAAATCGCCAACATGGGTTCAGGGAGGGTAAATCATGCCTTACAGGCTTAATAGAATTCTACAACCAGATGACAAAGATTAAGTAAGAAAGAGAAGGACTACATTTTCTTGGACTGTCGAAAAGCCTTTAACACAGTACCCCCATAAGAGGCTGGTACATAAGCTGGAGAGACAGGCAGGAGTAATTGGTAAGGTGCTCCAGTGGATTAAGTAGTACCTAAGCAGTAGGCAGCAGAGAGTTACAGTGAGGGGTGAGACCTCAGATTGGCGTCACCAGTGGAGACCCACACGGCTCTGTACTCGGACCTATCCTGTTTCTACGTAAATACGATACGATACGTAAATGATCTCCCAAAGGGTATAGACTCATTCCTCTCAATGTTTGCTGACGATGCCAAAATTATGAGAAGGATTAAGATAGAGGAGAACTGCTTGAGACTTCAAGAAGATCTGGACAAACTGAGGGAATGGTTGAACAAATGGTTGTTAGAGTTTAACCCAAGCAAATGTAATATAATGAAGATAGGTGTAGGGCACAGGAGGCCAGATACAAGGTATCATTTGAGTGATGAACTTCATCAAGAGTCAGAGAGAGAAAGACTTAGGGGGGTTGATATCACGCCAGACCTGTCCCCTGAAACCCATATCAAGAGGAAAATATACATACATATCAAGAGGATAACATCAGTGGCATATGCCAGGTTGGCCAACATAAGAACGGCCTTTAAAAACTTTAGAAACGGCTTAAAGGCCGTTTAGAAACAGCCTTTAGTGTAAGGAATCATTCAAAACTTTGTTACCACATATGTCAGACCAATCCTGGAATATGCAGCTCCAGCATGGAGTCCATATTTAGTCACGCATTAGAATTCACGAGGACGTGAATTTTGCCCTCACGTCGCTGGAAGACAAGAGTTAGGGGGGGACATGATCACCACATACAAGACTTCAAAGGAATTGACAGGGTAGGTAAAGACAGGCTATTTAATACAAAGGGCACACACACTAGGGGACACAGGTGGAAACTGAGTGCCCAAATGAGCCACGGAGATATTAGAAAGAACACTTTTAGTGTAGTTGACAAATGGAATGCATTAGGAAGTGATGTGGTGGAGGCAGACTCCATACACAGTTTCAAGTGTAGATATGATTTGATTCTCAAGTGTTCCTGAGCCCAGTAGGCTCAGGAACCTGTACATTAGTTAAGAGGCGGGAACAAAGAGCCAGAGCTCAAACCTCGCAAGCACAATTAGGTGAGTACTCAGACATAACCCCCCGCCACCCCAGTACTCAAACGTAAACACTCAGACATACACACTACACACTATACAAGGATTTGTTCACTCAGACATACACCCACTCCCCACCCCAAACATTTGTACATACATTAGGCCAGTACACACAAATATTCACTCAGACATAACTAATATGCATTAATGGCATGCATTAACCCCCCCCCCCAACCCCAAAGACGTGCACACACATTTATTAACGCTGTGGTATAAAAAAAATCAATATTACAAAAGTAAGATTCTTTATTAAAAAATGCTAAACTTTACATGATCAAGAAAATATTAAAAAAATGCACCCCTGTACCCACAACGGCTGTACCCACTCATAGCGGGTGTTTGGTATTGAACACCCATTGAACAGTGTTTTGTATTGTGCATGAAAACTGGTTCGGCTTTTGATTTTCATGGCAATTCTTTCCTTTTTTGTTTTTACTGTGTTGAAGGTTGATAGGCCCTATAGTTGGACGCTGATAACGCTTTTTAACTCCTTTTACGCAGTTTCCTGTCGCGTTGGAAGTTGATCTCTGGAGTTGGACTCCGGCTGCGCTTTTATGGACGTTGACACAGTGTCCTGCCATGTTGGAGGCTGACGGTCTCTGGAGTTAAACTCGGATAGGGCTTTTTAGAGGATTGATTCGAAGCCAGGGAGATTTTGCTAATGTTTTCTTGTAGGCGACGCAGCAGGATTTGAAGTGATGGGCGCCTCCTAGGGTTGGGTTGAGTAGCTACCTGGAGGATTTGCTCCAGTGATGGGTGTTGTGTGGGCAACGCTTGCAAGATCTCCAACATCAGTTTTCCGTATGAAAACACATCAGAAGCAAATGTACTAGCCTTTTGCTGAAGGACTTCTGGGGCGTATGTTGTGTGAACATCTGGGTGCCCTGCCAGAAAGATTTTTACTTTGTTTCTGGAGGCCACTCCAAAGTCAATTAGACTAATTACTGGATCGTGAGGCGGTCCTTGGACCATAACGTTATCACACTTTATGTCGTTGTGTACAATACCCGCCTGGTGAATTTCTAGCAGTTTTCTGCCAACCTGTAGTCCAACGTCGAGTAAGTTGTACTCTGAGTTTAGTAACACGTTTTCAAGCGTCTGGCTGCCTTTGTAGGTGGTCAGCAGCGCTGGAGGATTGATTGTAACTCCGAGCAGCAGGGGAGCGCCACCTGCGCCCTTCAGCAACGACAAAACTTTGGCTTCCTTGGTGAAATATTCGGAAAATGAAGAAGACCTTGACACCTTAAGCGCTGCTGGCTCTCCGAGCCACTCGACAAGAGTAACTTCTCCATACGTCCCAGAGCCGAGAAATTTCGTCTTGTCTTTAAGCAAGCGATCGACGACTTCTCTGTTAATCTGTTCCATAATATCCTAGATGGCAAAAGTAGTAAAGACAATCTCCCGGGTTTGATCAGAACGAAGTTTCAAAGACTTTTCCGAGTTGGTGTTGTTGATCAAGTCTAATTCTGTCTTAAACGGAACAATGTAGAAGACTCCAAAGATATATAAAATACAGATCGTAAGTCACAATACAGAGTCTGAAAATTCCAACACCCAAACCATAGCGTGATATCGTTTCGGTTCGTCATGGACGATTGTGAAGTTGCGTAATGAAACAGTGATGTTGTTTTGGGTTCAGCTACTCACAACGAAATGTTTATGTAGCACGGGCTATAGTGAGCACGTAATTGAGCTTGGGTTTTCGCGATAACTTTGTTACTGTGATATGAAAGTGTTGAGAGAGTCAATTTATAAGGGTTGAATATGAGGTGAAAAATGAGATGGCCTAATAGCCCATACTAGTTGTTGTTTGTTGCCCATACGAGGCAGCTCTTTTATTTATCGAAACTATCCAGTGAAATCACATATTAGATTACCATATAATCTGTTCCACAAAGCAACAACCGTGTTTACATAGCAGTATTTCCACGGTATTTCTTTATTCTAAACTTATCGCGAAAATATTTGTTGATTCGGGCTGCATTTTAGGAACATAAGAACAAAGGTAACTGCAGAAGGCCTATTGGCCCATACGAGGCAGCTCCAATTTATAACCACCCAATCTCACTCACACGTTACTCACATAGTAACAAGACACCTGGTGTTGTTCTTCAGCTATATCTTGCTCTGGTTAGGCCCCATTTAGATTATGTAGTTCAGTTTTCGTTGCCGTACTATAGAATGGATATAAATTCACTTGAACGTGTCCAGCATAGGATGACAAAGTTAATTCCCCAAATTAGAAATCTTCCATATGAAGAAAGATTAACAAAGCTTAAGTTGCATTCACTGGAAAGTCGAAGAGTTTTTAAGATACAAAAATCGATAGGGAAATTAACACGGAAGAAGACTCACTATCTCTTCAAGTTGATCTAAATAGGGTTTTGAAATAGTCAAAAGATTGGCAGATACAGTTTACTGCTGATAAATGTAAAGTTCTGAGGCTAGGTAATGATGATAAAGTTACAAGATACGAGCTAGATGGTGTTGAGATTGCGAAGTCAGATTGCGAAAGGGATCTGGGTGCTATGTTTAGAAGGAATTTAAAACCAAAGGATCAATGCATGAATGTTCGAAATAAGGCAAATAAGACACTGGGATTTATTAATCGAAGTGTTAGTAACAAGACACCTGGTGTTGTTCTTCAGATATATCTTGCTCTGGTTAGACCCCCATTTAGATTATGCAGTTGTTTTGGTCATCGTATAGAATGGATATAAATTCACTTGGACGTGTCCAGCGTAGGATGACTATGTTAATTCCCAAAATTAGAAATCTTTCATGTGAAGAAAGATTGTAGTAACATTATGATAGCAATAATGCAAGGATTAGTGAAGGAATTGATGAATCTAACTGGAACTCTGAGAGCAGAGATAGATTCCCTACGAGAGGAGGTACGACAGCTGAAACATTGGGAAGAAACGAAGGAGGAGACCAATATTAACAAGACCTCGTCGTGAAAAGTCGTGAAGGACAGGGGTCTTAAGAAGACCTTGACAAGGCCGCCTACAGACGCCCTAAGGACAGCAAATTCATTTGCCGTGTTGGAGGACGAGTGCTGTGGTGAGCCTGCAATTCACTCGGAACGGAAATCAACGAGGAGCGGCGGAGCGCGGGCCCCTTAGGGTGCTCAGAAAGTTAAGGAGGTACCGAAGCGAATTTTGGTTGTGGGAGATTCCCAGGTGAGGTATTTAGACAGGACGTTTTGTGCCAGAGATAGGGGAAACAGGTTAATGGTCTGCTATCTGGGAGCTGGAATTGGAGATATTGTTGACAACATGAAAGATATTATGACGGGAAATGGGAACAAACCCATTATTTGTATTAGTGCAGGGGGTAATGATGTTGGACGAGTTAGGAGTGAGGAACTAATAAAGAAATTTAACAAAGCCATAGAATTAGTTAGGAACAAGGGAGGAATCCTGATCATATGTGGCACTCTTCCAAGAAAGAGCGTTGGGAACAAATGGTTGTCGAGGGCACTTGGTGTCAATTGCCGGCTGGAAAGATATTGCAAATCAAATGCAATATCTTTCATAGACAACTGGGAACACTTCTATGGAAGAAATTAAATGTATGCTCGTGATGGGGGTGCATCTATCGAGGGCTGGGGTTGTTGCTGTTGCGAACTCGTTGGAAGAAGTGGTTAGAGGTGTTTGTTTGGGTTTAAACTGTTAGCTGATAGAGGTATGGGAATTGATTTGGAGGAAGGAGGTAATAAAAGTATGTGTTTGTGGGAGAAAGGAATTGGCAAAATGATCAGGGAAAGAGAAGGGCCTCAAAATAACAATTCACTTAGGGTATATTACACTAACAGTAGAAGTCTAAGAAATAAAATTAACGAATTAAATGCTCTTGTCTGCACAGAAAAAATAGATATTATTGCACTTACCGAAACGTGGATGAATGTAGAAAATAGAAAACTATTAGCTGAATATCAAATAAATGGATTTAAACTATTTCACACAGATAGATATATTAGACGAGGAGGTGGAGTAGCCATATATGTTAGGGACAATTTGAAATGTAGTCTCAAAGAGGGAATCAAAACTGAGCCACACACAGAAACTATTTGGATAGAATTAAACGAAAAAGCTAATATTATAATAGGAGTTATATATAGGCCACCAAATTTAGACAGAATGGAAGCAAAGCATCTATGGGATGAAATATCTAGAGCATCTAGATCTAACAGTATTTATGTAATGGGTGACTTTAATTTTAGTGGAATAAACTGGTTTAATAAAACAGGGAATAGTGAAGCAGAAGATTTTCTAGAATTAATTGACGATTGCTTTCTTACGCAACACATTAAGGAACCAACACGGGAAAATAATATTTTAGATTTAGTGTTAACTAACAGGGAAACACAAATTAATGACATCGAAATAGGGAGTGAGCTAGGGAACAGTGATCACAAAGAAATCAGATTTAACATAGAATGGAATAGACCTGTAGGAGAAAATTCTGTCAAAGTGCCAGATTTTCGAAAAGCTGATTTTAATAGCCTAAGAAATTTTTTTGGTCAAATTGATTGGAAAGCCTTGGGTATGGGGTGTGGGCCGGTCTTGGAGCGAGACATGAACCCAGCGAAAAGGTGACTTAAATGGGGATTTCGATGTGGATTCAATATATAACTTATTTAAGAATATTCTAAACAAAGCACAGGAACGTAGTATACCATACAAATTGAATAGATCGAATACTAATGACCCAAAGTGGATAACAAAGAATTTGAAGAACCTTATAGGTAAAAAGAGAGCTTGGTACAAAAGAATTAAAAATGGGGAGGTCACTTTAGAACAGGAATTCGTACAACTGGTTAGAAATGTTAAAAAAGAGATAAGGAAAGCAAAAAGAAACTATGAAGTTCGCAAAGCAGGGCAAGGAAAGACAAATCCTAAAGGGTTTTTTCAGTTATATCGTACTAAGACTAGGGAAAGGATAGGGCCATTAAAAACTGAGACAGGTCAAATAACAGATAGTGATGAAGAGATGAGTAGTAATTTTAATAAATATTTTGTATCTGTATTTACTAAAGAGGAACTTAACAATATGCCTTCAGCCGAACAAGTCTATGTGGGTGGGGACGAGGACAGGTTGACGAGTTTTGCAGATACCAGGGAGGATGTTCTTAAACAAATAGTAAAACTCAAACCAAAGAAATCCCCAGGGCCGGATGAAGTGTTTGCCAGGGTGCTTAAAGAATGCAAAGAGGAGCTTTGTGACCCACTGTCAACCATATTTAATAAATCAATAGAGTCAGGCAGAGTGCCAGAGTTTTGGAAAGTTGCTAATGTGATACCAGTTTTTAAGAAAGGAGATAGATCACTTGCATCTAACTATCGACCAATTAGCCTAACGTCTATTGTGGGAAAGTTACTCGAATCTATAATAGCAAATAAAATTCGTCTTCATCTTGAAAAACATAAATTAATAATTGAGTCGCAACATGGTTTTATAAATGGCCGTTCATGTTTAACAAATTTGTTATCTTTTTATTCTAGCATAGTTGAGGCAGTTGATAGTGGTAAGGATTGCGATGTTGTGTACCTTGACTTTAGCAAAGCTTTTGATACAGTGCCACATGAAAGACTGATTAAAAAGACAGAGGCTCATGGTATTGGGGGTGCTATATTAAACTGGATTAGGGCATGGCTATACCAAAGGAAACAGAGTTAGTATAAATGGAGTCAAGTCAGGGTGGGAAAATGTTGTAAGTGGAGTGCCTCAGGGCTCTGTCCTGGGACCTCTGTTGTTTATGATATATATAAATGATTTAGATTCAGGTTTGAGTAGCAACATTTGCAAATTTGCCGATGATACGAAAATCGGTAGGGAAATTAATTCGGAGGAGGACTCACTATCACTTCAAGTTGATCTAGATAGAGTTTTGAAATGGTCGAAGGATTGGCAGATGCAGTTTAATGCTGATAAATGTAAAGTTCTGAGGTTAGGTAATGGTGATAGAGTTACAAGATACGAGCTAGATGGTGTTGAGATTGCGAAGTCGGATTGCGAAAGGGATCTGGGAGTTACGATTAGTAAGAATTTAAAACAAAAGGATCAATGCATAAATGTTCGTAATAAGGCAAATCGGACACTTGGATTTATTAATCGCAGCGTTAGTAACAAGACACCTGGTGTGGTTCTCAAGCTATATCTTGCTCTAGTTAGGCCCCATTTAGATTTTGCAGTTCAGTTTTGGTCGCCATATTATAGAATGGATATAAATTCACTTGAACGTGTCCAGCGTAGGATGACTAAGTTAATTCCCCAAATTAGAAATCTTTCATATGAAGAAAGATTAACAAAGCTTAAGTTGCATTCACTGGAAAGGCGAAGAGTTAGGGGTGACATGATAG